TCTTAGATTGAATGCGTGCCCTGTTGACCAGCTTCAACAAAAAATTTATCATTCTCTGCCCTAATCTGTTCAATACTGGTGACCATGCACGCGTTTTCTTCTTCTGCCGTGTCTCTAATTATGGCTTGGTTGGTCTGCTCACAATACTCTGTCGGCCACATAGTCATGAGTTTATTTACTCTCCTCCAGTCAATCGTTCACGAAAAGGCGAATTTCTACACACTGTTGTCACTAATCGAAGACATAACAATTTTCAGAATCCCCAATCTAACTACTAAACGTCTTAACATCCTACTTATTTTTTGTTTACGATCGTAGGTACACATCTGTGTTACCATGACACCGCTAAGTTTTTGAAACTTGGGTATTACTTTTGGTATTTCCCTCTTGCATTGTCAGTCACATAAAATCCATTTTAAACGTCTTTTTGTTTATTAGCTAAATCCTTTAGTAACGAATTCATCATCCAGTACCAATACCATACATAGGTCTTTTCGTTTGTCTCTCGTGTGGTCTGACAGTCAAGTGAAGTGACAAGTCTAAAAATTGAGACTGAAGTTTGGAGAATTTTTTCGTGTTTCGCGAAAGTTTACAATAAACTGAGTATTCGAACGTAATGGCGGCATAAGTGGTCAGAATATCGGAGTGTATCTTATACACAGATAATCAGCTAGAATGCTTAGCACAAGGCAGGTTGCAGCGGAAGTCAATTCGGTTTACAATTACCGCTTGGATGACGAGGTACGTGTGTGTGCGGTGCGCTGCATAAATCATTGATGAAATCGTTCATTACTTTGCTCTTATATCATAACAGTAGAAACTCATACACAAATTAACATTTGAAATTCCTCAAGGTCTACACTTCTGTTTTGTCAAACAAAATAGTGTATAACGTGAAAAATGTTCACCGCAACTCTTCAGAATGTTTGTCTACTGGAACTGTTGGTCTTGAACATAATCACCGGTAGTACCTTCACAATCTGTCCTGTATTATCTTGCTCCCTCGACTTCGTACTCTAACAACCTCGACTCTTGTATGCGCGTACCCACACACAACGTTAATGCTTTTGGGTTTTTAATCAGCATTCCATTTGCTCGCACCAAACGATCTAGCAGGCGTTTGGTCGAATCCACTAACAGGGGTCCAACCAAATATCAGTGCGCCGAGCTGTGGACCGGCTTCAGGTTGTTGTTGTTGTGCTTCCTGAGCCCAAACCCTTCCATCGATTGACTAATTTTCGGGGGACATTCATCCGATTGATGTCACGTGGTCTGATGGTATGTGTCTGAATTTATGTGCGTCTCTCACTGCGATATGTGCACACACAGTGTTGCAGTCATAACCTGCTTGAACCAAAGGAGCTACAGATTGACAACGTTGAGCGGCTGATGGGTGGTGTTTGTGGTCTCTACAGCATCGGTGTCCCTCTCCATATTGCTTTAAAAGGGTACATTTCAGAAAAAACTAATCTCAATGTTCGTATCGTTATTTATGGCAAAAGGCCACACGCACACTCATTGCACTGCAGAGCAATAAGTTGCGGTTTATTTACATTTAATATGTAACCAGTTGCATGAAATGGGCACATGTACCACAACATACGAAAAAATAGATATGTAAAGTGTTTAAATTTAAATCAGCTAATAAGAGTGTCGCAACAAGTGTGCCGTTGACATCGGTTAACAGCCATGTCTGTCAGTGTCTCAAGCCATAGATGTCCTTGGGCCCCTAAATTGAGAGTTTAGAGCCCTACCATTACCAGTTTTGAGGTTAACACCTACATCGTTCGAGCCCAGGTTATTCGTTGTCCACCTTGTTGCTGCTTCCAGTTAGTGTCTGCTTGCGCAAACATAACACGGTGGGGCAATCGCTGAGCCGACATCCACAACACATGTTCTAGCCATCGAAGTCTCCGGAGCAAGATGACGGCACTCAGGGGACGACTGGGATTGTTTGCGATGCAACGAAGGCAACGGTGATCAACTACACTTAATCGCCATACGTCTTCTGCGTGGAGAGACCAACTCTCGCAGCCGTAAAGTAAGACAATGCGTATTTTGGCATTGTAAACGCGGCCTTTCGAAGAGAGACTGAGATCGCATCGGCGCCACGAGTGAAGTAGGTTAGCGAAAGCCACTCGAGCCTTGCGGATATGCGCTGATATTTCTTTCGTCAGTCCTCTTGAGCTGAAACAACTCTCGAGACAAGTGAAAAGTGATCAACGATTTCCAACTGATCGCTCATGCGCATGAGAATAAGTTTAGTCTCTTTCCAGTCTTGTAGTAAAACCTTACATTTAATGGAGAAAAAATCATACCAAACTGCGTGACGAACAATGCTAACTTACACAGGACGTTTGGAACGTCGTGAGAGGAGTCGCAGAGAATAATGATGTCAACATGTTCCAAGTCACAGACTTGATCACCTGGGGGAAGCTCTGCAGTTCTTTAGAGCGCTGCTTAGGATTTTGTCTATTGCGAAATTAAAGAGGAAGGATCAAGCCGGGTACCCTTGTCGGACTCCGCCTGTGATGGTAAATGAAGCGGCGATGCGATCATAGACCTTGACGCGGCCTGATGTGCTTGAGTAGACGGCTTTGAGACGGTGTGCGTACTTCTCTGGCACACCGCTTTCTAACGGACAAGTTCAGAGAGCTACTCTGTCAATTGATTCAAATGCAGCATGGCTGTCTAAAAAGACAATGTTCAGTCTACTGAACGTTTGACGTTGATCGAGAATCAATTAACGCAGCTCCAATCGGAGCGGAATATAGCTTGTTCTTCGCGGATTTGACGCTCTTTCATACAATAGCCTGCGAAGGATCAACGATATTAACACCTTGGATGCAACGAAAATGAGACTGATCCTTCGGTGATTGGAGCAATCGTGTCAGGGGCCCTTCTTAAAAATATGTACGACGGCCGCCAAACTCTCTTCGGATGGAATGCATTCAGTATTCTAGATAGTTTGGAATAAGGAAGTTAGTTCTCAAACAAGCTTGCACCACCGTTTTCGAAGAGGATCAGACAGAGCTCATCTGGGCCGGGCGCTTTGTGGCGTTTCAAGAGTCTGAGCTCTTGGGAGATTTCTTCCTCGATAGTCGAGTAAGTGTTCATAGGTCATAGAGCACTGCTTACATCAAGAGATGATGATGATTTCGATGGTCAACTGAGTTCTTGACGGAAGCGCTCCGCCCAAGCCGATGCCGTAGACTGTGAGTACATTCGTCTTTAGTTTCGCGTGGTTTTTTGTTACTGGCGGCTCGGATTAGTCTAAAAGGTTTGTGAGCGTTACTGGAAACAGAGGTTACTTCTATCTCGGAGGAGGGTTGTGCACATCGGATCTTTCGGTCCTCCTTTAGGAACCGTTTCAATTCAACACTGACAGTCCTGCTAACTGTGCTATTTTCCTTGTTCGGAGGGATGCTTCGACGAGTGTCAAGCGTTGCTCTATGAAGACGGGATTCCGTTCCTACCTAGAGAATTTATTTGTCGATTGAGGCTTTAGACTATCCGTTTCTGATAAACTTGGAGCGAACGGGGTGACAACGTTTTCATTATCAACCAGCTCTGTGTGATGTAAATTCTCTGTCTCAACGAATTAACTTAGGCGGCCCTTGTGCAACACGAATATTATATTGTGGGGTATGTACCCTAGAGCTCAACAATTCACTTTGGAATGAAGTAAGGGGATGTAATTATTGTGTCTTATCGTTGGTCCAATCCGATCCCCGTCCGCATTTTCCGGTGACACCTATCATGGGGTATCTATCAGCTGCAGACATTCTCATCAGCTGTCCTCGTTTGCTTTTCTCTGTCAAAGGTTGATTGTTATTCTCTGCGAGTGTTTTCCGTGTGCGTTCATGTCTTGTGCACATGACATTGTATAAATCAGCGATGCATTTACTCTGTCTCCCGCTGACCGTGGTTTCGTTCACTTGATATTTTTGTTATATTTTGAAACAGATACGGTCGAGACTGTCTAATTCAGTTCGAAGATTTCGGTAATCACAACGCGTTTCGTCTGTGGCAACGATATCGAGATGAATATTGCACATTCAATGATGATATTCAAGGTGCGTGCTTCTTGTTCGATTTGATAATATGCACAACTTGTTTCTCTCTCACACATCTATTTCATACTACGCTCTTAGGAGTCTGAAATACTGTGTGCCAGTAATCGTGGTCGTTTGGTTGTTGATGCATGTCAAGCCAGTGGGTTTCAGTTTTTACAACCAATAGCCATGCACTTTTGTGCGCCGGTTTTTTTGCTGTCTTTTGGTTGCCCTTTGGATAGAACAGCAGAATGAAGACTAGAATGTTGAGAACAAATTCAAGCGGAAAATAGCAAATTTATATAGCCTGATTTTACACGAATAGTCAGTAGATGCACGAAAGCCGCTGTTTCCGACACCCAGCCATATCGCTCAGTGTCTCTAACCATCGGTTACGATCATCCCGAGGTCCCCAGCCAGGGAGCCTAACAGGACCTATGTGACCTAGTTTCCTGGTTAGGGTTTTCATACCCTCGTGCCAGGTCTTAACTTGACCACCCTTCGCTTTTTCCAC